TTAAGAGAAAAATGAAGCCACTATAGATTGTTAAAATACGAAATATCCATTGCCAGCTAAGGTATTCAATAATGTAACCACCACTTAATGTTCCTACAAAATTCGAAAACCAGTAGGCTAGATAAAATATTCCAAAAGCACCACCTCTTTCTATAATCACAGAATAATTAATTTTTTTAAAACAAATATTGTGGTAAATTCATTATGAAAATTTTCGTACCTGTTTGAAAATAAATATCGCTTATTATTCCAGCACCAATAGAATACATTCCAGAGGAGCCACTAGCCTGAACAGCACACAATATCATTAATATCCAAATTCTTCCTGCTATAGAGCATAATATTGTTGGAATGATATACACAAGAGCGGAGAGCAAATACACTTTACGTCTTGTAGAAAATTTATCAGAGTAAGCAGCCCATACAATTGGCTATAGAAATGTTAAATTAATTGTCAATAGAAAATGATGATATGGTTCAAAAACCAAATCTATAAATATTTACCGCAATTCCTGTGAAAAATAAAGATATCGAAACTTTTATTTACTAAAATAAATTATTAAACACATTTGATTTTAATTATAATACACTCTACCCTCGTTATAATGGACTCTGTTAAAAACGGACCCTAATTATAGGTAATGGTCCTCCAGAATAATTTAAAATAAAATTTTAGCAAAAAGTTATTATAAAAACGTAATTGCCAACAAATTGATCCATTATAACGAGGTAAAGTGCATACTATATTTAATATATAGACATTACTTAATGAATTAGCAGCTATTTCCGAGGTATTAAATTCTTCACGCAATTTTTTTAGTGCTGGATAAAGAATCCTATCATTTTACAAGGAAAGTATGAAGTTCTATAACTCTTATTTAGTGATATTAAGTATTTTTTCATTAATCTCTTACGTGTTTGTCATAGGTGCTAACATTCCTGAAAAGGTTGCAATAAGTAAAATCACCCATTTTTTTCGTGAAGACAAACGTTTTGGATCATTAGTTACAATATCTACAATGCATTCAGAACTTTCATTAACAACAGTGACATCAGTTAATTCAGTGTCAATAACTTTTGTGGCATCAGTTGTTTCAGTGACACCAGTGACTTCAGTGACTTCAGTGACTTCAGTGAATTCAGAGATTTCAGAAACACTTTTCATCGTTTGAATATTATGAAATGAGTAAATGTTAATGTCTAGATATGATTTAGAAGTTTTTATCAATTTATCAAATCAACATTATTTAGTTGCATTGAAAAAAATTTCTACGTATTTATTGCCAGAGAATACTTTATGTATAACATTGCAATGGATATTCGACATATACTTAATCACTAAGGAGTTCGCGTTTGTACGTTACATTACATTTGGTGTTTAGTTTAAAGTTGGGTTTTCTATGTCACCAAAACTCGTGTTAGTATACTTCTATCGTGAAGTAATACATTACAGCAGGGGCAATTGATGACACACGAAATTATTGCGCAATTGTTAATATTTTGATGTTATACAATACTTTCTTGAAAAGCTCGCGTAACTTATCCCTTCTTTGAAATATTAAAGATTCATTAAGCAAACAGCTCACACTATGCCTTATACTGTAAAATATTTCTAGATCAAAGCAATAATTTACTTTATAACGGATAATGCCATATTCGGACGTTTTATGCATCTTTGATACGTAGGTATGCTTCGATTAGGATGAGATTAGATATGAATGCGTAAATAAATATTACAGAGAAACCACATAAATGCACCCCTCAGAAACTATGTAGCTAAAGAAATTTTGCATAGAGAATGCATTTATGAAGTGCACTTAGAGAGGTCTCTCTGCATGACATTTGATTTTGAATTCAGAACTTTCTGCATCAGTTCGAAACTCTCCGAAACTAGCGTTACTACTGTATGTATATAAGAGTCTTATTATATAGGCAGTGTTGTAAATTGGAATAATTGGACTCAGTAATTGAACCAATTGGACATATTCCAATTGAAATTGGGCATAAGATAATTTGGAAAATAGTGTAATTTTGAGAATCGGGACATCTCATAATTTAACAATCAGAATAGAATGATTTTTATATATAACAGAAATTATGAATGAAAAAGTTTTAATTAGGCACTTGAAAGGCTGACTCCTAATTCTTCTATAGATTTTCACAATACTTCAACCATACAATTGGCCGTGTCATCTTATTTACGAGATGATATCGATATACAAAAAAGGAATATTGTTATTGTTAGAATAGAAATAAACAAACAAAAATAAATAACCCATTGATCCATTCAATCAAATTATACAGTAAGTATTATGCCTCCATCCTAGTGAAACAATGCACCAAATCTACCGATGTTATAAATTTCTGTTTAATTAAAACAAATTTCGGTATACTTTTAAATGGTCAAAAATTCTTTATTCATTTGACAAATTTTAAATCCCGTTTAAAAGATGTCGTTAGAGAAAAAAAAGTAGATTACAT